GACCATTTCGTTTGCGTGCTTAGAGCGCACTGATTTCGTCGTGCTATTTTTCATTACCCGAGCCAGCCAATACCAAGCCGTGCGAATACGAAGTTGGCCGGACCCTACTAGACAGATTTTGCGACGTGGAAAAACGTTGCCCTATGTGTTGTTTGGTCAGTGCTTAGACTACAGATTTACTGTATATATACATTTTATGAATACACAGATTTTTTAATTTACAGATTTTGGATACCACGCCCCTTTTGCGCCCAATGTGTATTCGTATTTCAAGTACTAGAGACTTGGGCTTCTGAATGTACACACATTTCATGATTATGATTACGTCCTGAAAGTTTTTATGTTTACAAAAGAAATTATTCAACAAATAAATTCTCCTAATATTACCCACACTACAGCAGAGCCGAAGCACAGTTAGTGGACCGCGTACGTGCGTGTGCATGTGTGCATTAAAGAAGTGCAGTATGATTAAAATATCAGCTTGGAGGGTACAGGGTATCTCCTAGTCGAGCAGTCTCGACTAGAGCCTTCTTAATCGTTTTATGATCGTCTTATGAGCCAAATTATATTTTGAAACTTCTCCTTTTTCAATAATTGATAATTTTATTTGATAATTTCATTATCAGGTGGATCCAAACGAAGCGAAACGTGATACTGATGACCATGGACCAAAACTAGATAGCGTTGACTTCTGGCATAAGCTGATTGCATTGATTGTATCTGTTATTGATGAAGACAAAAATAGTTATGGGACAGTGCTCAATCAATTTCCCCAGGAATTGAACATTGGACAGGTACATCGTCCCATCCATAATATTTCAGGAACTACTTAGCTATTTTATAATCTTTATGAATGAATCTAATTTTTTAATTGACTCTAGCTATCGGCAGCTACTATGTGGGGTCTTTTCGCCGTAGACATGAAGTACGCGCTTGAAGAGCATGAGCAGCATCGGCTTTGCAAGTCATCTGCTTACATGAACTTGCATTTTCGTGTCAAATGGCTATACAGTAACTATGTTAAGGAGGTGCCACCCTATAAAGGAGCTGTGCCGGAGTATCCAGCTTGGTTTGAGCCGTTCGTCATGCAATGGCTAAATGAGAATGACGATGTCTCATTAGAATACCTTCATGGTGCATTTAATAGGGATAAAAAGGACGGGGTAAGTCAGATAAATATCAAACATATAAGCAATATATATTTAAATATTATATGAAGTCATATTTATATTATTCTAATTGTAAACAAGAAAACATATTGTTTTGAGACTAATCGTTTAAATTTGGTCAAAAGAAGAAAGCTTTAGTCAACAAATTAATTCTCCTAATATTGCCCACTCTGCAGGGCAGTCCAAGCGCAGTCGCTGCTTACTGCGCAGTTAGCTGAGCGCGTTCTAATACGTGCGTGTGTATGTATGTGTGCCTAAAAGAAGTGCAGAG